AATCCCTTCTCCTCCATTCTCCTCTCGGGATCTTGGGCACACATGCACATGCGCCCGGTGTGAGTTTTAAGCCACCGGGTCCGAGACGCGAGACGCGAACCGCGGTCGACTACGTGGGAGTCCAGCGACATATCCATTACGCTAACTGCTGGTTCCCTAATAAGCTATGACTTCTTAAAGGCAGGAAATAGGTCGCATTTCTCTTTGTATCTCTAAACCTACATGTGGGCACATGGTATAGGCTCAGTAAATGCTTGTGACACAGTGAATAAGTGAACCACTTCCTCTCATGCATTCCCCCTTTCATCAGATCAAAAGCCAATGTGGATGACCAAAATCCAAATGACTCTGAAACAGTATTCCAAGAGGTGTCACCAACCTGCTGTAACAGTCTCCAAGGTGTCCACAGCTTTCTTTAAATGCTTCTAGCAGCTCCGCCTTCTCTGCGGGTTCCAGCTGACTGGCATCCATCAGGGCAGCTCTCACTAACAGATGAGCCTCGCTGAGAAGGTGGATGCAGCTCTGTGTTTTTACAGTCCTGTATGTATTACTGTAGTCCACCTAGAACAAAAAGGAACAGCTTGTTCTGCTGAATGAAGACTCCTAAATGGTCTTCAGTTCTTAACATATATTATATGTCATAGTAACATAAAGTTAATATTTGGACAAAAGTAAATAAGTGGAGATTTATCATCCTGACAAAGCCTTAGTTGAAGTGTTTTTTTTTTTTCTCTCCAAAACTATAAGCCTGTTTAATACATACTTGATTATAAATCTACTTTGTTAAACAGCTTTAATCATTAGATTAAATAATATCAATAGTGAAATACTAAAACTACTTAGCAGGCCAGCGGGTGGTGTGGTGGTTAAGACAGCTGGATCCCACTCGGATAGTGATGTGGCTCAAGTCCCAGGTCTGGTAGCCTGAAAAACACAGGAGGCATGTGTGCACGTCCAAAATCCCAAGAAAAGGAGAAATGGAGGAGAGGGGACTGTGGCATGACCATTCCCCATGGGGGTAGGGATGCTTTCTCACTTTCTCTCTCTGGTCAGCGCATGGCCCTACTGGCAAAAATTAAAACAAACAAATACTTAGTAAATAATCTGATCTCAATTTGATAAAGTTAATGAACACATTTGATAAAGTTTACTTCTTTTTAAAAATTCTATGACTCGAGACCAGCAGTTAGCGTAATGGCTATGTTGCTGGACTCCCATGTAGTTGACAGCGGTTTGTGTCCCGGACCCGGTGGCTTAAAACTCACGCTGGGCGTGTGTGCGTGCGTGCCCAAGATCCCAAGAGTAGAACAGAGGAGAAAGGACTGCAGCATGGCCATCCCCCCTGGGGGGTGATTTCTCGCTTTCTGTCTGTCTCTCTCTGTGTGTCTGGTGAGCACACGTGCCATATAGGAGAAACCTCTCAAAAGAAAAAATTCTATGAATCAACTTTTTCAAATTCTGACTGAGAAAACTAGTAGAAATTCCCTTTCCTTTTCTTAGTTTCCATTGGTGAGTTTGGGTTTTACTACATCATCTATTTCTGCCACTCACAGTGGACCCATAAAGATTATCACTAGCTAATCTGACTCAATCAGCATACTTGGGCTATAACAGTCAAATCATCTAGGGAAGTCTAATACTTCTAATTAAGCAAGTGTAAAAAGACAGGGCACAAGACTGAAGGGCCCAAGAGTCAGGGTGTGCACCTGTAGACCCGGCTACTCAGGAGGCTGAGGCAGGACTGAAGGAAATATGGTAAGACAATGTCTTCGGGCGGGGGGGAAGAAGAGCAAAGCTGGTATTATTATCAACATCAAGGTGCCAGTGACAAATCAGACAACACCTGATGATTAAAATTAACATCACCAAGGAAAGGCAGTTGGTCATCATGTGCCTACAGATGTGACACCCTTAAAAGCTGATGCAATATTTTGGCTAAGAATGCGTTATCTTGAACCTAATCATGGGGGGAGGAGGGGAAGGAGTACTCTCAAAAAAAAGTGTAGATGGGAAAATTAAATTTTTCCAAATGCCCATGTCATGAAATACAGACGCTGTGGAGATAGTCCAGATTTAAAGAGGCTAGATAGACATAATTAAATATACTACCTGATCCTAAATTAGATCCTGGTCTGGAGTGGGGTAGATGCTATTATTGGGTCAGGACCAGCAGATGGCATAATGGTTACATCGCTGGACTCTCATATAGTTGGTTCAAGTCCCAGACCTGGCAACTTAAAACTCACACCAAGTGTGTGTGTACCCAAGATTCCAAGAGGAAAATGGAAAAGGGGTTGCAGCGTGGTCCTCTCCCTGGGAGGTGACTTCAACCTTTCTGTCTCTCTGGTGAGCACAAATGCCCTACAGCAAAAATCTCTCAAAAAAACAACACCTGATGATTAAAATTAACATCACCAAGGAAAGGCAGTTGGTCATCATGTGCCTACAGATGTGACACCCTTAAAAGCTGATGCAATATTTTGGCTAAGAATGCGTTATCTTGAACCTAATCATGGGGGGAGGAGGGGAAGGAGTACTCTCAAAAAAAAGTGTAGATGGGAAAATTAAATTTTTCCAAATGCCCATGTCATGAAATACAGACGCTGTGGAGATAGTCCAGATTTAAAGAGGCTAGATAGACATAATTAAATATACTACCTGATCCTAAATTAGATCCTGGTCTGGAGTGGGGTAGATGCTATTATTGGGTCAGGACCAGCAGATGGCATAATGGTTACATCGCTGGACTCTCATATAGTTGGTTCAAGTCCCAGACCTGGCAACTTAAAACTCACACCAAGTGTGTGTGTACCCAAGATTCCAAGAGGAAAATGGAAAAGGGGTTGCAGCGTGGTCCTCTCCCTGGGAGGTGACTTCAACCTTTCTGTCTCTCTGGTGAGCACAAATGCCCTACAGCAAAAATCTCTCAAAAAAACAAAACAAAACAAAACAAAAAACAAAAATACCCCACATTATTGGGTCAACTAAAAAAATCAGAATGTGGATCACAGTAAAGTATGAGATGAAGTATTGTGCAAATGCTAAGTTTATTGAAGGATATAACTGGACTAGGATCATGCAAGGGACTATGCTGATTCTTAGGAAATAAACACTAGGGCTGGACGGTGGTACGATAACATAACACCAAAGGATCGACTCACATGGGAGGACTCTGGGTTTACCTCTAGAGAGATCCCCCTGTACACTCCGGCCATGTACATGCCACAATCCCAAGTTCGCTGAGCTAGGGGCGGACTGTGCATGGTGCAGAGACCCTGTTGGTACTTACCTGTTTCATTTATGGAAGAAAAATATAACTTAAAAAAAGAAAGATAATACACACTGAAATAAGGGCAAAAGGGTATGATGTATACGATTTATGTTCTGATGGATCAGAAAAGTGTATGTGTGAGAGACAGAGTCAGAGACAGGAAACACAGGAGTATTAAAAAACATAAAGAGCTCATGAGAGAGAAGCAAATGGGCTGACGTGTTAACTGTGGATGAATCTGTGTGAAGCGAATACAGGTTTTCTTTGTAATATTCTTATTTTTGCCACTTCGAGTTTGCAATGATTTCAATAAAAAGCTAAACCAATTGTGAGGGATGTGCAGGAAGCTGCCACTCTTAGACCCGGAATATGGATGCCCAGTGAGGCCCCTCCCTCTAGGACAATGCTGCAGTTCCAGTTGCCCTGGGACAACCTGAGAACAGCTCAAAGCAAAAGAGGGAGGCACGAATAAATGAGCTGAGATTGTTTTTTTTTCCAGCTCCATTTTAGCTAGGGGTCAAAGTCAAGATCAAGGAGTACTCTCAAAAAAAAGTGTAGATGGGAAAATTAAATTTTTCCAAATGCCCATGTCATGAAATACAGACGCTGTGGAGATAGTCCAGATTTAAAGAGGCTAGATAGACATAATTAAATATACTACCTGATCCTAAATTAGATCCTGGTCTGGAGTGGGGTAGATGCTATTATTGGGTCAGGACCAGCAGATGGCATAATGGTTACATCGCTGGACTCTCATATAGTTGGTTCAAGTCCCAGACCTGGCAACTTAAAACTCACACCAAGTGTGTGTGTACCCAAGATTCCAAGAGGAAAATGGAAAAGGGGTTGCAGCGTGGTCCTCTCCCTGGGAGGTGACTTCAACCTTTCTGTCTCTCTGGTGAGCACAAATGCCCTACAGCAAAAATCTCTCAAAAAAACAAAACAAAACAAAACAAAAAACAAAAATACCCCACATTATTGGGTCAACTAAAAAAATCAGAATGTGGATCACAGTAAAGTATGAGATGAAGTATTGTGCAAATGCTAAGTTTATTGAAGGATATAACTGGACTAGGATCATGCAAGGGACTATGCTGATTCTTAGGAAATAAACACTAGGGCTGGACGGTGGTACGATAACATAACACCAAAGGATCGACTCACATGGGAGGACTCTGGGTTTACCTCTAGAGAGATCCCCCTGTACACTCCGGCCATGTACATGCCACAATCCCAAGTTCGCTGAGCTAGGGGCGGACTGTGCATGGTGCAGAGACCCTGTTGGTACTTACCTGTTTCATTTATGGAAGAAAAATATAACTTAAAAAAAGAAAGATAATACACACTGAAATAAGGGCAAAAGGGTATGATGTATACGATTTATGTTCTGATGGATCAGAAAAGTGTATGTGTGAGAGACAGAGTCAGAGACAGGAAACACAGGAGTATTAAAAAACATAAAGAGCTCATGAGAGAGAAGCAAATGGGCTGACGTGTTAACTGTGGATGAATCTGTGTGAAGCGAATACAGGTTTTCTTTGTAATATTCTTATTTTTGCCACTTCGAGTTTGCAATGATTTCAATAAAAAGCTAAACCAATTGTGAGGGATGTGCAGGAAGCTGCCACTCTTAGACCCGGAATATGGATGCCCAGTGAGGCCCCTCCCTCTAGGACAATGCTGCAGTTCCAGTTGCCCTGGGACAACCTGAGAACAGCTCAAAGCAAAAGAGGGAGGCACGAATAAATGAGCTGAGATTGTTTTTTTTTCCAGCTCCATTTTAGCTAGGGGTCAAAGTCAAGATCAAAGGCATTTATGATTAGATTGGCTGATGTGCTGGGAGGGTGGGTGGGAATAAGTCAGTCTTATTTTGTGGAAGGGAATTTGTACTAGTTCAAATGTCAGAAGCTGTGAAAATGAGGAGGCGGAAAAAGATACACACTCCATTGTCAGAGGCTGGAACCTGGGTGACCACGACACCCTTAATGTGTGACTAGAATTAAATTTCATTCTAAGGGTCTAGAAATAAGAATTGTAAGTATGGAAGAGTACCATTTCTTTATACAGTTGCATGGGGGAAATCGTATTCACAATGTACAAATTCCACCCAGCTTCAGCCACAGGAGGTGTTCTGACCTTAGCACTGGCGTCTTTTCTGGAACTAAAAGCAAAACAAAGAACAAGATTGGTACGATGAAGACACATTATTACTATATGGCAGTTTCAAATGGTAAATATTAGACACCATGAAAGTAGAACTATGCCATTATTTTCGTCTTATTAATAGTACTTTCTTCTAGCTGATTTTTATAGAATTTAAGTTTATAATAAATACTACACAGACCTACAACTTTTAACATTCTATTATTATTATGTATTCATAAACCTACTTTCACTTCATTCCACAGGTATTCTCAAATGAGCAATAAGCTCAAAGAATAGATAAGACGGTCTCAAAAAGAAGACCTGTGACTGTGAGGTCCCTGTGCCCAGGCTCTCTCCCATGTGTGTGGCCTTCATGAGTTCAGCATGCCCTATGCCACAAGGCTGAACAGAGGCATCACGCGAAACACCCATGGTGGCTGAGAAAAATGCAGAGGAGATATAAAGTTGTAAGTCTGCCTAAAGCACTGTCTTATCTCTTGCTATCACTATGTGATATCATTTTTTAGTATATAATCTTTTAAAAATGTTGATCAAGGGGAGGGGGAAAAACATGTTGATCAAATGAATTTTCCAATAAATAAGAATTTTTAGTAAAAATGCTGTATTTTTAAAATGTCAAATATGTAAGGCTAAATATTGTGTTTTCTCTTGCCAGAGAACTTTCAGCAGGTCAGCCTAAGACTACGCTGTGTACTTCTGGTTGACTAGTTACCAAAGTCTACTTCTAATCTTGTTGGTGGAACCAAACACAAGCACAAATAATTCAAAAGAACAGAAATGGCCGGCCACATGATCTCATAGTTCAGGGAACTAGATCCCACATGGCTGACCATGCGGTTTGAGCCCCAGCCTCAATTGCTTGAGAAAAAATAAAATAAAATAAAGCAGTCGTGCAAGTGTGTGAGCTTAAAATCCCAACAGGATGGAGAAGTTGAGGCACAATGGTAGCCCGTGGAGGGGTGCTTTCTCTTCTCCCCCTCTTTCTGATGAGGGTACATACCCTCTGGCAAAATAAAATTAAAATCTATTTAGGTGTGAAATACATGATATGCTTCTTTCTTCCAAATTTCTGTCTTGGTTAAGTTTTCCTTAGGGGAATGTTCAAATTACATTACATTCTGTAGCACTAAGTTCACAGTACAGAAACCACCTGGGAGCATAACTAGTCTGGAATTAAAGCATCCTCTTCTAGACAACATGAACACAGAAACCCAAGCATTAACCAGAGACTAATGCTATCAAAATACTGTTTTATTTAAAGGTACATCAGCATATAGCTATAGGTCATACGCTTTTAATTTCGATGGCAATACCAGGAAATAATCTTTGCATAAAAATTTAACTACTGAAACTTTTATAATTCATTTTCTTCTTAAAAGTTCCAAGGTCAATTTTAAAGAATATTATTCTTTCTATGAAAGGAAGACCACCATAGAAAAGTCATCTGATTATTCCCAAGTTCCAATTTAAAAGAAGCTAAGCTAATATACAAATGAAATGCACCAGTTACAATTCATTTCAGAAACACTGGCAGAAATATCTGGAGGTGAGATGATGCTTACAGAAGCCTCTTGGGTGATTCCCTTCTCTCTGGAATGGCCTCAGGGTCTGCCTTCGTCAAAAGTATGATGTGGTTTTTAAAGTGACAGATGGCTTTCAAACCTATGAAAAGTTGTATTCTTAAAGCGCAGACATCCATACTGACAGGTGGGCAAGCCTAGTAAAGAAAACATAACAAATTTAATCAAGGAAAATAGGTACGTGAAATTTAATCTTCAAAACGTCAGTCTGTTTATTTGATAAACAAACTGTCCCCATTTTCCCAGGCTATTCCCACTCTACTTCAAATTAAAAAAAAAAAAAAACACCTAAATTCCTATTCTTTTTTATTTTAAAGAGAGCAATTTTTTTGCTATAAGGTACATGTGCTCGCCAGAGACAGAAAGCAAAAATCACCCCCCTGGGGGGATGGCCATGTTGCAATCTTTTCTCCTCCAGTCTCCTCTCAGGATTTTGGGCATGCATGTACATGCGCCCGGTGGGAGTTTTAAGCTGTCAGGTCTGAGACTCGAACTGTGGTTGACTTCGTGGGAGTCCAGCAATGTAACCATTATGCCATCTGCTGGTCCCCTAAATTCCTATTCTTAACATAGTGAGGAGGTTCTCTAAACCTGTGTAACCAATCATCTATTATATAAAGCTACTGAATTTGTTGACTGAATAGATGTATAAAGAGGGCCCCGTAGCTTCTGGAACTCTGCTTGTAAACTGTACGGTGTTTCCAGCAGGCCCCTCTGGGACAGTGGCTGTGGGTCAGGAACATGTCACCCAGGGAAATCCCCACTATCTGTGGGTTGGCTCAAGGGCATGCTCTAAATCAGACACCAAGAAAGGGCACTGTTCTGTGTGAAGAGGACGTAACACAGCTTCTTCATGGGTGAGTGTACACAAGAACTATTACATGTTCAGATGACCCGATTATCAAAGCCCTTTAGGCAGAAACAGTGCCTGGAATGGCGGACTGGCTGGGCTTGTTAGTTGAATTAGAGAAACCCAGCTCTGCTCTTGGGAGGGAACATTAGTTCAAGCAGATTGGCTGAGAAAGGAAACAGAAGGGCTCTTTCTGGGAGCTTTTAAAATGTTGCTGCCAGCCCCCCTCACCTTTAATGCTGTGTTGATTCTGAGGTCATTCTTATTGTCCTTTGGGACACAAGGGTTAGGGAAGCACCTCTGTCTATATTTTGATTCCTAGGAAGAGGTAAGGTGATCTTGGCTACTGTTCAGGTCCCAGAATCTCAGAGGAAAGGGAGATAAAGACCACGTGCATTTTGGACAAATTCTGAAGCTGCAAAACCTTTTCAGACATCGCAGCTCCCAAACTTCAGCTGGCAAGTGGGCTGAACTACTGTGAGTTCATCAGGGGGCATCTTGGATTTCAGCACTGAGGCGGTGGCGCAGAGGCCGAGCGCTAAGGAGTGACCTCAGCACTGCTGAGAGGAAAGCTGGCCTTCCCTCTCCCATCTCGCCAGGCCTCAAGGGCAGCCTCCCCCACTCGCTGCCTGCCCTGCTCCTCCCCTGCTTCCCTTTGGTTTTATGAGGTTCTGTGAAGATGAGGAACTAATTTATTTTCAAATGTAGATTGATCCTGCTTTACTCTATTATATAACACAGTTGTACCATCACCCACTTAAGCAAGCCTTTGTCTTTCTGAGGTTTAAAAAGGCAAAGTGGGGGTGAGAAAAAAGAGAAAAAGAGACCAAACAAAAACAAAACCAAAAAACTCTGTCACCTTTCCTTTTGTATGAGGAAAATAACCCTTATTTTTGAAATCAGCTCTTGAAAAGGTCGTGTGTGTATATTACGCACAGACAGGCACGAAAAACTTGCAGTTCTGGTTTCCTAAGAGGGTAAAGGCAGGCAGGAAGCTTGGTCAGCAACAAAAAATTACAAGCAAGCTATGGCAAAAAAAAAAAAAAAAAAAAGAAAAAGAAAATGGTCACTGCAGGACCAGCCAGTGGCATGGTGGTGAAAGCAGCTGGGTCCTACGTGGTTGACTGTGCCACCCGAGTCCCAGACTCCATGGTGAAAAACAGGTCAAGCATGTATGTGTGCCCAAAAATCCCAAGAGGAGAAACAGAGGAGAAGGGACGGAATGACCATCTATCAGGGAAAAGAGAGGGCTTTCTTGTTTGCTTGCTTTCTCTCTCTCTCTCACTCTCTGTCTCTCTCTAGAGAGTAGTGCACCCTCTAGCAAATTTTTTTTTTTGAAAAGTCACTCAGAGACCACACTTCGATAAAACACTATCACATATCATACATATCTGGGTGACAGCGAGTATAGAATGAGGTTAAGCATTTCAGACACACAAGGCCTTACAAAGGGGACAGCTTGCTAACGTCACCATCACGGAACAGTCATTTTTCCGGAAAAGGCATTCTGAATTCCAGGGGGACATAAAACCAACTTTTAAAATACAGGCACCATAATGTAGAGGCTTCTTACAAATAACTATTAGAAGAGTTTATCCTTCAGAATTGAAAGAGCGTAAATGATTATGCAAAAGATCAGTATATTTCTGAGAATCAAATTCAAGGTCAGAAAATACAGAATTTCATCAACTTATCTATATTTGTTTTGTGGTCAAGAGATTTTCTGAGACTAAGCACATTACTTCCCACCAGAAGTGAGGTTATTGATCTAACACACACAGTAACTATCAGACTAAGAATAGAATGTTGTTGAATTTTTGCACAATGACAAAATATAGTACAGACATATGTAATAATATGTAAACAAATAATTTCAATGCATTTTATTCAATCTGTGCTGGAGTATACTGAATTTTGTAGTTTCATTACCAGTTCCATAAAATTACCATTTCCATTAAAAAATGTAGTTTATTTTCATTGTGAACTCTTTTCTCTTAAGTTCACAATATATATTTTTAACCAAATTTTAAAATAAGTACTAATTTTGAGTGAAATGTTTCAATGCAATCTTAAAAACTGCTAACTAAACCATGAATCAAAAAAAAGTATACTCACAAATGCATATTTTATAGCCTAAAGTTCTAATTCAATAAATACGACAGTCATAAAAAAAAGTCCTTGCCAAGCGTATGTCCAAGAGCAAATGTGCAAGCATGGATGTGTTTCCTTTCGCTCTTAAGAATTCACAGGCACCACAAGCCAGTTCTGACCTTCAGGGTGGTGTCCATGTACGGGTCCTCCTCACGAGCCGTCGCCGCGCTGCACCGCACCGTGTAGCACTGCAGGTTGTTACTACAGGAGAGCAGAGAGGCCACTGAGCAAAGTGGAGGCCAGTAACCAACAAGCCCACCAAGGGGAGGGTTTCACAGGGAAGCCGAGCAATGGCAGGGGGAGGAGAAGACACCAGTATTTACCAAATGTTAACAAGTTAGACTCCTCCTCAAGAAAGTGAGGGCTGCAGAATACCTAGGAAGTGTTTTTAAAAACAGATAGTACATTGCTGGACTCCCACATAGTTGACTTTGGCTCAAGTCCCAGACCCAGTGGCTTAAAAAAAAATCTCTTGCTGGGCGTGTGTGCGTGTGTGTCCAAAATCCCAAGAAGAGAATGAAGGAGAGGGGACTGTGGTGTGGTCATCCCCCCCTGGGGAGTGATTTCTTGCTCTCTGTCTCTCTCTCTTTCTCTCCAGTGGGTGCATGTGCCCCATAGCAAAAACCTCTCTTAAAAAAAAAA